GATTTTAGTTGATAGATACTCGTAAAGATATATAGATACATTGGTTGAAAATGGTGACAGTGATTTATGGTGGTTTAAAATTTGACAAATTTGTTATTAGAAGTATTGATGTAGGTAGCGGAAGTTAGAAAATCTTATGTAAAGTYTTATGAATAATAAAAAAAAAATTATTCTAATGAAATAAATATGCAGGTATACCCACGTGTGATAAATGTGAAATTGAGCTAATATTGTAGTCTATTTAGAGACTAGAACTTTGTGCCTTTATCTATTTGTTATTTGATCTCTCAAATTTAAGTTTTATGTTTTAAATTATAAATTCTTTACTGTATTTTAATTAAACAAAAAAGTTTAATGTTTTATAYAAAAGAGAGCGTTTTGAATGAAACTAATGTAATCAGATTCAGTTAAATATGTATTGTATTATGTATTTAATAATAAATAATATGATTTCTTGACTAGCATAAAAATTCACCTATTTAATAATTTTGAACCTAACCTTTTAAAATTGTTTTTTCAACTTTGAATAGTAGGTACGGAGTGTTTTGTATATGTCTATTTATAATTATGCACCGTACTTAATTATTTTTTTCACCCATAATAATAAATGATAAAAACGAGTGGCCACCCGTAATCTGTATGTGTTTGGTATTTTGTCGATTGATATCATTTGATTGTCTATATGACGTATAATATTGTCAAAAAACGGAAAAACGGGTCCGGAAAATCACAAGCTTATCGTTTATTATACTGTCGAGTATTTGAACAAAATCGTTTTTGGCCCGTCCGATCAGGTATATCATGTTATGTTTAGCATGTCAGAGTTTATAACGACCATAATGAGACTCGGTGTCAAAATAAATTTTGGAAGTGCACCAATACAACAATAATAATTATAATATGCCGACCGTTTTTTGTACATCACAATTCACAATGCTATATGCCATTGGAGGGTGGTCACTGGCTGGTTTAATCAGGGACTGTGGTTGTGGTCACGATGAGCGGCGGGTGTGGGCCATGGAAGCGGGTGAGGGGCGTTGCGTGATGTTTCCGGTACAGTTCCTGATGGAGCGGCAGCGGTGGCTGCCTACCCGCGTGTGTGCACCGTCGCCAGTTTTCCCGCAGCTTTCGTGTTGTTCGTTCGTCCGCTGCCGTTTCTGTCACGCGTCATCAAAAACACAATATTTTTTACGATTGACTACGCGTGCCGTCTTTGATTTTCATTTTTACCGCAATTCCTATATTATGTATAATTTTCATGTTCGAGAAATATTTTAACGACATGGTTTGTACGTTGTTCGACGGTAGTGTTTTGTGATATGCTCGAAATTAAGTGATGGAGACGGCCATGATGTTATGCCGTATCACTATGGCGATGATGCTGTTGCTGTCGTTTCATCGGACGGCGATCGCGGATAATTTAGGTGCCTAACAATATAATATAGTGTCTTTTTCATTCAATATTGAATATTAAATTTTATGTTTTTTTTTTTAATATTTAATATTTCGATTGATTCTCATAAAAGTAACCAAGATGTTTTGAATATTTAATGATTTTCATGAACATAATATTATAATATAGCAATATACAACCGTTRTTAGCTTCTTGTTCACAGAATGCAAAATTTCCCTCAACTATAAAAATATGTGTATATATTAATATATATTCTAGTTGCGCCATATATTTTTTATTTTATGTTTTTATAAGATAGGGTATGGTTATGTAAATAGTTCTTCATCGTAAAAATTTTTGAGTATCAGTTAAGGGTGTCCATGGGTTGGCTTTACCACCCCAGTGTTTTCTATTTTATTGTGTTTGTTATATGATAAATTGGCATAACGTTGCAGACCACCCTATTTTCGGTATAGGTAGCCTTTGGTATACTGCAAATATAAAATAAATATAATTGCACCCTTACCTATTTAGTACCTTAATACYTAGTTTAACTATAACATAAAACTAGACGTTTTTAAATATGTTATTACCTAGAAAGCTTCACAACACATAAATTTAACACTATTTCCTACTTACTGTAGTAGGTTTCTTATTACAATTATACGATTTTCACGCCATTTAAAAAGTATTTTATTAATATAAATCAAAAATAACAATTTATTTATTTAATGATGCAGGTATTTGTTCATCATGAAGTACCTATTATAGATTATGAAATATACAATATACATTGTTATGATTTGTTTTGGTCTTAGTAACAAAATAGTTAATTAGTATAACTTGATTTGTTTTGTATAGGTAGGTAAGKTATATACTTTAAAATTGTTTTAGAAGTATATGTAAGTATAGATAGTTGCGAAAATATTTATAGAGACATTTGAACTTGGGTGCTTTATGATTTTCGAAAAAATAACTACGATGGAACTTAATTATTCGAAATGAAGTATGAAATAAAGTTGAGATCAATTTCAATAAATATCCTGATTGAAGTATGAATTTTTAAAAGTTGCTAGGATCTTTTAAAATACTGATATATTTAGAATAATGGATGACTCTCAAACTTACATTTCTTAAGTTAATACAGTTCTATAAACGGTTCTCAATTTTAAACCAGCATAGGACCTACATTGYGTGTACTGTACGGCTTATTCGCTATCCCTTTTTACTGCGCCAAACTAATATAATTAAACAGTATTATCTGTTATCTCGTTATGATGGTAATTTATTGTATTTCGTAATTTGTACCTATATTGAATTTTTTATTGACAACGACGACGATACATGATTATATTTTGTCTATTTAAAACTATTAATGTTACAGTTTTATATTAGAACTTATATATTGTCTTACATCATATAGAGTGAAAAGTAAAATTTCTGTAATAGAGGTAGTTTTTCACGAATCTTAACCGATAAATATAACCTGGTTTGAACATTCCTTATATAGGTTGTTCATTTTTAATTAGTACTTGTGAAACCGGTACACAACTTTAAAATTAAAGATGAATACATAATAAGATAGAAAAATCTTAAAAAGTTCAAGAGAAATGTATGAGTAATATATTATTTTTTCATTCGTAAACCTAATAATATGTAAATTACCTTCAAACTGTAATCAGCGTTTTAGTTGTAAGAATATTATGTATACGGCATTGCGTACTTACTTCAAGTCTGATAGAGAAAACAATGTGCGTGTATATGCGTGTGTGTGTACTTGTGGGKATAAAGACGTCTTCACAAGTAATTATTTACTTTGGTAAAGTATATATTAAGTAAATCACCCATGTTGTTGTCTCATTAGGTTTTAATATTATTTGTTTTGGTTTTATAGATGGCTAGGCACCTAGTCCCTAGATGGTACTTTGCTCAATCGATTGTCATTACATATAATCGTAATATGTATTGTTCTAAAATACTGACAAATTTCTCGTGYGCATGTAAAAAGTTTGCGCGTGAACTGTGTAACGATGTGTACGAATAAAGAAGAATTAATGCTTAGAGTGATCAATTGTCCAGTTCACTTGCAATGAATGGGTGTGACACTTATAYCGAGATCGTGTAATATGTACATATAATTGGTAATTTTCTTTCTTCGATATACGAATTTGTATGTTTTGATTAGATGATTGACTTTTGGTTGCTCTAAACTTTCCTGTGACCTATTTGATTTTTAGTTTTTGAGCAGTTTGCGAGCAAGCTATTGATTTTACGATATGTTTTTGCGGGAAACACTTTTTAGGAAGTAAATGTGCTCTAGAACTTTTAAATGSCAATCYTTYTGTGGAGAATTGATTTTAAATTGTAGATAATTCAATTTACAATATTTCCGTATCGTATATTATTCTTTAAAAAATAAGCATAATATAATATATATGGACGTTGAATAGTTATCAATTTATCATGAATTCTCAATTATTATTCATGTATTATCACTACTACAAGTATAGTAGTTACGTATTACTTTAATCAGAGTAAATCTGCGATTATAGTCATGTGAAATTTAAATTGATGAATATTAATATTTTAGTACTCTATACATCATTTATAAGATTTTTTAAATAAAAAAAATTAAATTTTTCAGTGTTACAATTTTTTTACAATAAATTAAAAAATTGCTTAATCAAGTTATTCAATTTTGTTTAGAAAATGAGCAATTTTTGCAATTTAAGAATTAATTGGTAATTACATATATGATATAAAATTCACCATAGTGGTCCAATTTTTCAAACCATCAATTATAAATATCAAATTTAAAAATGGCATTGTCACTATTTTGTTAAGACCACAGGTATATATTATATTATAGTATAACCAGATAAACGATTCTCTTACTCGTAACATAAAAGTTGGCAAAACGTCGGTCTATACTTATCAAAGGCACCCATGTTCATTGACAAAGACCAAATAATGAATTTCAAAATATTGTGGTTATTAAATGTATGCGGTTATAATCCTGTATCAGATGTAAAATGTAAACACGAGTTCTTTTGAGAGAAGAATTTTCCGTTTTTCAGATTTTAATATGAATAACAAGTCCGGCTCTCTAGTTGTATGTTTATGGTTGGGAGAATAAGCATATACCTATACCCATAAAATAATTATTTATTTTGGTACATTTTAAAAGAAAAACGATATATAAGAAAAATTATAATGGTTCTCTCTCTTTTTTATTTATTCATGAAGAGATTTTTTAATGGAGATGGACACTATAATATAACTAATCAAAATTGTAAGCAAAAATTGTATAACGGTTTTATTCAAAATATTTTTATCTATTAAGTAATATCACAATATATGTTCATAAAAATGCTGATTTAAATTTAATTTTACTTTTTGAACACATTATTTTACAATAGTTTATTATTATTATTAATTTTTTTTGTAGGGCATATGACTATTTAGGTACTAATTATATCAAACTTATTTAGGTAAATACCTATTTAAGTATTTTGTTTATCTCTTATGCATTTATTTGGTTTAATATTAAAGTTAAATTCGTTTTAATTAATTAKTTTTRCAAACATAAAGTGTGAATATTACATTCTGCTCAACTACTCGTATTCTCAGATTAAGAATTTTAATTAGAAAAAAAGAAAAGATTTTAATGTTCAGAAAAACGACCTTTTGATAATGTTATAAATTCACGCATTACATATAGGTTTGACATATTGGAGTGGAAATATGTGTATTTTTTCCCTTACTCGTATGCTAATGCCGAGTCATTATAAAAAGTTTTAACATATCATTATGGTTCTTATTTTAATTAAAGCAAGACTCAAATTGTTACCTAGTTATTTTGTTTAAAAATTGTTCTCTATAATTTATTGTGTGTGTACCATGGATTTATAAAAGAATAATATAGGTATAGAATAATTACATGTAAAACGTTAATGAACCGTAGAACGTTTGTACGTCATTAGATGATCTGTGACTTTTAATTTTCTATTACTAACTGCCTTTCTCAGCTTATTATTGTATATTTATTATTGCACGACTTTGTCTTAAAATATTTTTATTTCGTCAAAATAGTATGTTTGATAATAATTTGAACTTATGAATATTTTTTATATTTCTATAAACGAAGCTTAAAACAAAGTTAGAAAAAAACTGCTAAGTCTATAAGTATTGTGTGCTGAAACAACCATGAATATCTTATATCATAAATGTTTTTAACAAACATAACGAACCGAATAATTTTCTGAGTGTAGTAAAGTAGTAAAAATAAGGGTAAAAAATTTACGTWGGTATGTCAGTGAAAAATCAATAAGGATAAAACTTAACAGAAAACGTATAAACTATAAATGTCTTATTCTAWTTGTTAGTTGCATTAAAAAAAAATATGATACTTAAAATTCAAATGAATAATATATACATTAAAATGGTTACGTAATCTTATATATGATAGAATAATCGAGGTTTTTGTTTAAAACAAAAATTTGATTTGCCACAATTAGGTTTTTGAATTGTTGTAAAATTGCACAAYTTTTACCAATTCAAATTATATTTAAGATTGAATAAATAAATAAAAAGTGATTTGGTTCCTTTTTTTACAATGCCTACGAATTACGATGTACTTTTGAATTACGCAATGTGATGTTTATTGATGATAAAAACGTGAATAGTTTTTCAACTCATATAGAACACTGCAATGATGGTTTGAATTTTATTTATTTATACTCTAATATTTATTATATTATATATATACTGTAAAAAAAACTTGTACTGCAGTAAACCACCAAGCATTATTATCAATGTTGTATGAGATTTGTATCATGATATCTAGATATGTAATTTTGAAGTTATTTGTTTAAAAAATTTAAAAAAAAATCGTTTTTTAATTTGAAACACTCGCATGTCGAACTTAATGTCGAACKTTGTTTYTCAACTCATTTTTATAGATCTAAAAGTAAGTCTAAASGTAAGTAATGTGGTGTTAGGATATTTTGTAAATTTCGGCAGATATCGAGG